AGTGAGTGAGTGAGTGAGTGAGTGAGTGAGTGAGTGAGTGAGTGAGTGAGTGAGTGAGTGAGTGAGCAAATAAGCAAATAAGCAAATACGCAAGCAAATAAGTAAATAAATAAGTAAGTAGTAAACTTCATGACCAGCTGAGGGTCATCATATTTTCCTGGCCGTCTCCATGATTCAAAAGAGGAAAACCATCAGGATATTAACTTGATATCTCAAGAAAACGCTCCTCGTTATTTCGTGATGACATAAAACGTATGTCATAACGAGAAAACCATGGAAAATAATTACATGCAGAAAATTGCTCTCAGCTTCCGTAGGTAAGGACTAATAGAAACTAATCTACAAATGCATGCAAAAAATGTATATATAATTTAAGTACTTCATTAAATTCAACTGAACTCTACTAAAAAGAGGAATGACGTAGCAGTGCTATCCTAATTGCTTTCTTGATGTCTTTGTGATTTTTATTCAACAAAGGATGTTAAATGAAGCTATTTATAGCAATGTGCAAACAAGAAGGGATGGTATTTAAGCTTTAAGTGTGGAATCCAATGCAGAAATTGAAAACAGGATTGTTCAGGTATGTCTCCCTACCACAGACTTTAAGTTAAGACAAGCTTGCAAATAGAGTCCATATGCATGACCATGGTGTAGGTTGTAAAGTATGTTTTCTTTAAGTCTGCTTTGACTCATAAATCCTAGTTTAAAGCACTGACAAGGGAGGATGAAACCTTTTTTTTTCAGTTACAATTCAACCTTAGATTTTAAACGTAATGCACCAAAAAATAATACTTTTTCCTACATCAGTTTCGGAGTCATTATTTTAATAACTTTGCAGCTACAGCAGAGAACAATACTGACACTGCTGTGACACAAGTCCAGCTGTTGCATGTGTTTGTTAAGACATGTCACATTTCTCTCTGAGGTCACAGATGGAGAGGTGCGTTTCCTCAATCTCTTCCAGGTTTTTCCATGTAATCATTTCTCTACAATATTCAAATCTCACATGGAATTTCATCAAGGCTCCCCATGCGCTGCCTCAGATGGGGCTTATAGAGAGTTTTCAGCCAGAGGCTGACCAAATCCCAAGCATTTACTCTTAAAAAAAAGAAAAAAACAAAAAAAATCACAAAAAACAACAAACATTCCACAGATGCCTCTGCTGTTGACGGGGTGATGCCTTTATATGGAAGCTAGAAACTCTAGGCAACAGCTAAACAGTTCCTACTTGGAGGGAAACAATTAAACAGCCACAGACAAAGGAGACAAACTGCACCCGACACGATGACGAGCAAAATAAAGGCACTGTGAAATAAAATAAAAGTATTTAGCCTTATGTAGAGTTTACAGGCTCGTTTTAGTGCAGGACAACCCAAGCACAGACACCAGCAGCACACCAAAGGAACAGGAAGGGAACTGAGAACAGGAAATTCTCAAAACAATCCTAAGTAAACTGAGTGTAAATATAGAGTTTTGAATGCTAAGTGTAGAATACAAGGGCAAACAACAATTTTTTTTGTCTTGTACATGGAAGTTGAACAGAGAAACCAAAAACATTTACTATGTTTGCATTTATGGTTTTGTGTTTCTTCCTGGATAGAATTATGTGACCATTGGTTAAAAATTATTAGTGAAGCCAGAGGTAGAAATACTCTAGAATATACTCATGAGCTTAACATATTCTTTATTAATATTATCTTAATTTCCAAGTGGGTTTTTTTCATATATCATCTAAGTAAGTTTACCTTAAAAAAGTTTTTGATGGCTGGAATGTGGCTGGCACATTCTTGTCTCCGGAAGTCATCCACGTTTTGGCCAATCTGCAGATGAACACAAAGTGTATACAGAAACGTTTGTACGATACCACTGTAAAAGGGCTAAAAAAAGAGAAGCAGGAAGGAGACAAAGGGACAATAGGTTCATAATGCTGCTATAAGAGCTTACTGTAATGTTGCCTAAGATGCTTGGCTTCCGTCTAATTTCCTGTGTTCCACTAGTTCCGCTCAATTTTAGTTTCCCTTCACTGCTCCATCTGGGATCTCTCCCATAGATGGGGATTTCTCCGGGAGAATTTCATTCGGACCAATCAGAGAACAGAAGGAGGGGTTTTGAATGACAACGTCGATTTTCTACGTAGTGTCTGCTTGTAGTTTAGCAATGGCAGTGGAGGAAGGGAATGAAACCAGTCCATGTTGATAAGGCTTCCAAATTAAATTAAATCTGCCTCACAAAGCCTGCAGGACTTATTTACAGCCGTCTCGTTCGGCTCGGTGCTTCTCTCCTCTCAGTGGGGGAGGGTTGTTTACAGCGCATGCAAGCAATTTCCAGTTAGCTTCTTAGCTTAGCCTCCTTCACAGTAAAGCTGGCATACATACGTCGCAGCCAGCAGTTAGTGATTGGGTAAATCAGATCCAATTGTTTTACACGTCAACAGAGGCCACGCCTCAAGGAAACAATCGCTCCTCAATAGCTGAGAGTCCAGACCCTCGTACGAAGCAAAGTGGAGAAGAAGGGGCTGGTTTTTACCAGGCTAGTGTTCCACTCATTTATATAAATTTACAAGCAGAATGAGCTTGATGTACAAACTAAACATTACAGTAGGTCAAATATAAGCACTAGCAACAAAAATGTTAAGGTTTGGCCCCGCCTTTTTATTTATTTATTTAGTTTTAGTTTTTAATTACATCACAATACAGTATCACTATTTTGTAAGTACAAAAATTAAGATTGTAACAGCTTCTGGCTGTTTCTGCTTTTTTATAACAGCACCACACAGCTGTTTCTTCTATTTCTACTGTTATAGAGGTTTGAATCAGTCCACCACTCACCCAGCTTATCAATGCAATCTGAGGTGCTCCTCCATCTAAACTGCCCACTTTAAACAGTCCATATTGAGGCTTGGTGATGTTAAACTTCTCTGCCAGCTCTGTCACGTCGCCTGCTGTTGGAAAAAGAAATCGGGAAAGAAATATATTTTTGAGGATGTTTATTTGTCAGCAAACTTTTAAAATGTTTAAATACAATATGTTTTAATACATTTCAGTTTAATTTTTACCTCCTGAGTCAGCCAGTTTGAGCTTGTTGGTAACCCCATCATATGCAAATAATGCCCTGGGAACAAAACAAATGCATTTAGGTGAAAAAAAGAGAAATAGTTTAAATACTGATGATAAAAATACACTGACACCATTTTAAAACACCAACCCAAAGATGAAGAAAAAAATGCAAATGCTATTTTATGTTTTTTTTCACCATCATACTTATTTACACTGAATCCCAGCTGAATGAAGCACTTTCAGCAAACACATCATGTGTTTGTTGGAATAACACTGTATTTAAAAAACGGGATTATGGTTTTTAAGACTAGAGCTGTTATAAGACAGTGGCAATCCACTTTGGTCTTGGTTAAACTCAAATTAGCGCTTAGCTCATCAGTCTGGTCAGAATTTACATTTATTTTTTTTCCAAAATGTGTTTTCCCAAAACCACAACAATCAATTGATTACATTACTGCAAAACCGCCTTTTAAACTAATGATTTATTGCATTAGAATTTTTTTATTTTTTTGTAAGATGTTTGCCAGGTATTTCCATGTATTCAGCCTTTAAGCATGCCCAAAGAGGACACACATAACCACAAGCTGATGCTAACACGACAGGCTTTTTTGTGGAGCAAAGATTATTGGCAAGACATTGTCTTGAACTGTGTCATATGCAGTTTTCAAATTTTTTCCTGTCTGCCTCCTTTCCTGTGCTTGTTCCCGAGAGCCTTTATGTGTAAAACAGGAAAGTGTGCCGTACACAATAACCAGCTTTCATAGCTTTTTACCACACGTTTGGATGGATCAGTGGGAAACTAATGCAACCAGTGGTGCTCACAGCTTGAAGTTTTAGGCACTTTGCAGGTGAAAACCTGTCCCACCACACCCTTCAGTCAGTCGACTGTCACTGGGGTAACTCAGCTTGTGATGTGTTTTCATGAGACCAACCAGAAACAGCTTCACTGCTCGGTTTTAACTGTGTTACTGCACTTTTTTTTTTGCTCAAAAGCAAAGCAAAACAAAATAGATAAAAGCAGTGCTTTGTGATTGTGTGTATATGAAGAAAAAGAGAAAAACCTGCAAAGGTGTGACTTTACAAAGCTGCTTGAGAAAAGTTGAACAGTGGTATCTTTGTGCAACAGTGCACATAGGTTTGTGTGAGAGGAGAAGAATGTGCACGTGCCTGTGTCTGAATGTGTGTAGGTGTAAATCTGTCTCTCTCTAGGGCCGTGTCTGTAACATCTGGAGCGGGCTAGTAACAGGCCACAAGCAGCTATTACAGCAGGTCAGAGGTCAAAGGTGTGGACATGTGTGCATGTGTAAGGAACAGGGAGGGACAAAGTATTCATTTAAAATGTGCAGAAAACAACAGTGGTTTAGCACACAGGCTGACAACGGACCGTGAACTCAGCAAGCGCCTCTAAATCACTTTGTTATTTTTTTTTCCCTGATGCAACAAGTCTGCCTTTGTGCTCTCGCTCCCTGAAGAACAAAGCACAACAAAAATCAGTCGGTCTGTGAGCGTGCTGATGACACAGTAACCATATTGTGTACCTTATTGGGCAAGCTGCATGTTAGTCAAGTGTGTGAGGACTAGGGCTACCACAAACAATTATTTTTATAGTCGATTAATCACCGATTTTTTTTTCGATTAGTCGACTAATCGGATCATACATTAATTGAATATAAGACATACAGCTTATCACACCAGAGTGCAGCTGCTATTATAGAACGTTGGTTACGTATTGTAACCCCAGATTCTATGAGTGTAAGCGCAGCCCTCTAAGGCTATCGCAGATGGGT